ACCGTTAAGAAGCTTTAAATAATATGGAAAAAGTTTTTTTTAATTTTTTCATCGAAATACATGACCTCAATTTTTATCAAGTTTTCTCATATTTGTAAAGAAATGTTGCAAATAAACGGTACAAAAAAGTTGGTTTTGAGAACAAAACTAGTTTTTCAGTAACTACATAAATATTCTAGTTACGTCAACTATTTTCCCTTTTACTACAACAAAATGTAATTTTGTTGTTTGTAACCGAGGAAAATTGTAAGTGTAACTAAAAATTTCTGTCGTGGACACAAAAACTAGTTTTGTCGTTACAACTTGTATATCGAGTTCACGCAATCAGTAACACACTATATCAGTAACACACTGCACACAAATACGTTCTCACACAAATTAGATGCTACACGCACATTTGCACAAAGAAACACTTTCAATAAACTGACTTGCTTTTCAATTCTTATGCGCTGATTAAAACTATAATACTGCAACAGAGCAGACTCGCGAACAGATACGAGTAAATCTCGTGAAATTTTAATATTTTACTATTATGGAAAATTTTTTTTTAACACTGCGTGCGCGAAACACGGGCTTTCTAACCTTAAAGCGTCAGAAAACCCTAGTTTCTCGCAAGCAGAGTTAAAAAATATCGTTTGCAACTAGTCCGCGAGGAAGTTGACTCACCCAGGAGTCTTTGCACCCTCGCTACGCTCGGGTGAAAACAACTCCTGGGTGAGTCAACTGCTTCGCGCACTTGTTACAAAATATACTATTTTTATTTTTAAAGCACACTCGTCAAATTTTTTTTGGGGACTTACAAGTGATTCATAAACCTGAAAAAAAATAGTGCCCATCAAATTTGGGTGAGGGCCATCGAGGAAAAAGTACATGTTAAAGCTGAAGTTTAAGACAACATTTGCTTCTAAATTTGGTAAAAATATTGATTTTTTGACATTTAGAAAAAACTACATTGCGTCATCTTCCAAAATGTCGAAAATTAAAACGGGCAATATAAATCGTGCCATCTATAGTAAAACTGTAGATGTGCAACGCAAAATTCGATTAAATTGCACTGAAAATCAACAATGGGCGTGGGCATATCCATGTTTATATCGTACATAACTTTTTTTACAATGCACGCACACCAAAAATAGACATACCACTCGATTCTGCTACACAAAAACTATTTTCGACATTTTTTGAACGTTTTTTGACAAATAATCAGAAAGAAAATAAGGCGCTCTTAGCCCCTCTATCAGCGCCTGATAGAGGGAGCTAAGAGCGCCTGTGTTTCTTTCTGTGTATTGTTGTCTGAATTGCGTTAAAGCTTGTGACTAATTAAAAAAATTTATCAGACAGTAGTTGACATCTTCAGGAAGCTTTTTACATAGTTTTAGAGACGAAAGACCGTATCGAACTCGATTAGATTTCGTGTTTTTTGTTTTCTTCAATTTATTTCGACTCGGCAAGCTCCCCAAATTGCTCCAATTCACTTTGAGGCATATTATTTCTGAAAATTTTGACAATTTACAATAAAAAAGCTTCAGGTCACTTTTACTTTTGAGTCATTCTACACTAATCTACACTGAGAAAAAGGTTTAGTTGAATCAATGAATTTTTACTTGATCCAACGAAATAATTTAATTGCGGGTTGCTCATTAAATATTTAATTGAATCAAAGAAAAATATGTAATTGGTTCAATCAGATAATTTAGTTGATTCAAATAAATATCTAAGTAAATTAAATAATTATCTAATTTAAGCAACTAAATATTTCATTGAATTGCAGAATAAATTTATTGTTTCAATCGAATCTATTATTGTATTAAGAATATAATTTCATTACTTCAAACAAATATTTACTTGATCGAATATAATATTTTTTTGAATGCAAAAATATATTTAATTAATTCAAATAAATATGTATTAGATTTGATTAATTGATTTGGCGCCGCGAAAAAATATTTGGTCATGTTGATTAAAATATACTAGTGAATTTATTACATTATTAAAAAATAATTTCAAGTAATGTCTTTAATATAGTGTGGTATATTTGATAGCGAACTGTTCTTAGTTCCGGCTGTGGAGGGGATAGAAGTTAATTAAATATTTAGTTGAAGTTATCATATGATCATATTGTATGTATGTTGTATGTTAATTAGTTTATTACATAATTATTGAACAATTTTAATAACTATGGAACATATACATTAATTTCTACCTATTCTAACGCATGAGACTATCGCTTAATTCTAACGCTCGGATGACAGTTCGCTCGCAGTAGTCAATCGCATACTACCATCATGGATATTTCTGTCTTATATAGTAATCTCGAACACTTTTTTGCCACTTAGGGGTGCGGGAAATGCGCCATCTAGGTAAAGGACCGAAACTAAAATAATTTAATATTTAATTAAAAATCGAATAAATATTTAATTACTTCAATAAAATCTAAATATTAAAAAAAATGCAATATTGGAAACTAATGATATTCAACTTCTTTGATGAAGCTCTGTGTAAAGTTTAAAATTGGTTTTTACAAGAGAAGTTTTGCGGTTACTATTAAGTATATTTTTAAACTCGCCTCAAATTATTACATACATATATCCTAAAATCATTGACGATTGAGCGAAAAAATAATTATAATAATTACGATAAATATTGAATAATATTTATTAAATGAACATCAATTGATTTTGAAAAATATTTAATTGATTAAACTAAATATTTTTTTCATTATATTCAATTTATTTCATCATACTCAACAAAATATTTTTTTGCGAATATATTATCATAACATTAAACCGATAATATATTTAATTCCCTCGATCAAATAAGTAATTACAATAAAAAATAAATATTTAATAATATCTATTAAATGAAAATTACTTGATTTCAATAAAATATTTTTATTTCGAACAAATAAATATTTCATTGAAATTCATGTAGGCAAACAATGAAATCGATTTTGTTGAGTCAATTAAACGAGTCGTTCAAAACTATTTAATATTTATTTATGATGAATAAATATTTTGTTGAATCCAAAAATGAAATAATTTAATTGACATAAATAAATATTTCTTTGAATTTAGAAAATAATTAGTTGGTTTAAATATAATTTTGTTACCTCAATCAAATAAAAATTAATTAAATAAAATAAAATATATTTAATTGACTCAACTAAACCTTTTTCTCAGTGTAGGAAAAATATGGCGAGTACTCGAAAAAACACGAGTATTCGATAAAATTCTAGTACTCGAAAAATCTAGTTACAGTCGAGAACTCGGAAAAATAACTTGTCGATCGAATCGAGCTTTTTCGAGTACTTGCACACACTTATAATTATGTTCTTTTAATTTCATTAACTATAATTGTTTTTACATGATATATTTATAAAATATCGGTTTTCACGTATGTATTTTTTTATGTAAATAAAACGACTGATTTTTCTCTCGATGCACGCTAAGATACAAGTCAGTTGCATTACATCAGCTTCTGAACACGTAACTTGCTTCTGATGAGTGAGAAAAGAGAGAAAAAACTTTTATTAACTCGTACAGCGCAATAATTCGCATAAAATTTTTGGCCCCTTGGTTAGTAAATTATCGAGCTTCGACTGTAGTTGTTCATAAAAGCCGGGATATAAAAATTTCCTTATATATTCCTTATATATTTCGCTTTCCAGTCGCCATTTTTTGTACTTAAAATCATATTTCACTAATGGGAATCACCATAACTTTAAGAGAAAGACCCATGGATGCTTTATTTGTACCAAAGACGCCAGGATTTAAAAGATTTTCATGTGAAAATTCGAAAAGAAGAAAAAAATTTTTTTTCGAAATCACGTTTTTTTGGATAAAACTATCCATAACTTTTGACCTGTTTGTCATATCGAAAATATGACACCGGATTCGGAAAGTTCATTAAATTTTGTTTGAATTAACTTACTCGCAAGCTCTCCAGACCCCATTTTCAGCAAAAGTACAACGGTTCAAAAAAGTATCAAAAATGTGTCCGTCCCGGACTTAATGGATTAATACAAAATTCTGAAGGCATTTGAAAAATAATTTAAGTATGATGAATGGTTGTATAGTAAACATAATACGTTTACCACGGTTCGTTATAATTCGGATACTTGACCAGATATTTTTGGCTTCGTTTGTTCGTAAATCGAGTCGAAGACTGACACTATAATTGACAACAAAGTCAAGATGATTTAACAAGTTCATAAACGTTAATGGCGTCGTTAAAAAATATCTGTCAAAGAGTTGTGCGTGCCGTAGAAAAACACTCGAGTAAAGGTGAGTTTCTAAAAGAGCGTAAAAGTTTGGTATAATGCGTGTGCCCGTGCGCGCGCTCGCGCGTGAGTGTGTGTATGTGTGTGATATGACTTTAGGTTCAAATCTCGTACACGAGTCCGCGTTGTAGGACATAGCTACCCTGTGCACTCTCACGGCTCGATGTACAGCTTATATACCCACACGTACATAGCCTATAGTGTTTTGCTCTGACGTTGGCAGCCGATCAATATTAGACGTCTAGTGGGGAGGGGAGAGTTGTGCGCTTGACGGGGTGTAGAGGGTCACGCACACAGTCATACACCACACACGCGCGCGCGCACACACACTCACAGATGAACGGATCAAGGAAACGAGGGAGAATGAGAAAGAGATAGAAAGAGAAACAAATGTATGAGTGAGAAAGAGATACAGAGAGAAAGCAAGCACAGCCTCGGTCTATGGACTCCGACGCTCTATGCCGGCTCGCGCCGCCGCAGCAACTCTCCGTGCATCAACGAAGTGTACGAGGCTGCAGCGCACGCGTGCAAGTGTGTGTACGGAGGCAGGGATGTTCGTGTCGCCAGAGTGTGGCACTGTTACTGCTGTTGCAGATAGAGAGAGAGAGAGAGAGATATGTCCGAAGAGTGTGAGTGAGCGAGGCTATGCGAGAGGGTAGAAACGGTGCCGATGTTGACGCCTGGTGATAAGGAATAGCGTTAGTTCAGTGAGCGAGAACGAGCAGTCAGCGACAGCATATTGCTGCGTGGCCAAGTGTTGGCACTAAACATCAGTCTGCGTACTCATAAAGTACAGCTTATATCTATACCAATGCGTTCTTTCTGCTACAGCTTGCATGCGGCTAAGTTTGTGGCTGCATACAAATAATTACACTTGAGCAAGCTGCCCTACGAGCTTGCTTCACAGAATATTTTCTGCAAATCACAATCACTTCCTAATCTTGCATATCCGTTTCAACCTTTTAATAAAAACAAGTAAGTGCCTTCGGTGCTGTTCTCTATTCGGGCGCACTTTGTTTCTTCATCACTCCATGTATGTGAGTGTAATTCTGTGTTTCTTTCTGTGTCTCAGAGCATCTTTAGCTCAATCGCTTTTCATATTCTATTTGGTGATTTACATCAACTCACTGTGCTTGCAGTATATAAGTACCGCGTACACGCGAGTGTCGGCCGAATAGTGTGTCACGAGCAGCATCGTCACACGTTGCAAGCGCCTCGACCCATTGCCGCTACCAGATCGCCCTTGTTTCCGAGAAAATACGTAAGGTTAGGTTCCTGGAACGTTGCCGGCGAGAGGGTACAAACTAAAATTTACACTCGACTCTAGAAACACCCTGGTCGTCATAAGTGCTGCGATACTGTAGGTGTTCACGTAATTGTGTGTGTGCGCGCGCGCACTAGTGTGCGTGTGTATATATGTATATGTGTGCGCGCGCGTGTGTGTGTGTTCATATGTGCGCAATAAGTGCTACTAAAACGACGAGTGACCTTCTTGTTGGCCATCGGTGCACACAAACGTGATTCAGCGGCAAGTGTCAGTAAGTTTGCCTAGGTCGTCGTCGCCCCGCCCGTGCTTCAAGCACACAGCATCACCAGGGTGTCTGCACACGCAAGAACCACACCCCCTGACGTGTGTCAGAATCGTCGTAGACGTCGGCTGTTGAAAGCTTTTCGAATCTTGCTTATAGCTGCTATATTGGTAAGCATGGGCGTGTACTGCTACAAAAGTCTGTTGTTGAAAGAAACACAGGACTTACGTACCCGTTGTTCCAACGTATTTTGCTTGCAATGCGCCAAAAATAAAGCTTATTTTAATATTGATTATATTTAGGGGTATAATTTTTTGCTTCTGAAATCTGTTAAATACAGAATTAATCAATCACCCGCGACGGTATATTCTGATAAGCACAAAAAACCAGCCACGTGAATTTTATTTTAATGCCAATCGAATGTTATGAGACGAACGTAAGTTATTAATGTCTTATCAGTATTTCGTTTCGTAAAAACATATATTTTTTACATACAATTTTGATCTTTGCTTATGATATTGAAAACCGTAGCATAGTGAACTATTGGAACAGGTTGTGAGATAATCTTCATTCGGAATTTTTCTAGTATAATCACAGTGTAACATTTTAATAAATCCCTGATGGTCGCTCCATGGCTTAATTTCACTGGAAGAACAATCGTATTTGTAATAAAATTTTCATGGTATAAATATTTCATAAATTTAATCAATTTCTAGATGCTTTTGAAAAAACAATGTTACTGAAAACATGAAATTCGTTGGATAAAACATTTCCACGAATAATTTTATTTACAAATGACACATGCACGAACGCATTCATATTTTCTGTAGATGAATCTATGCAAAGCTCAGAGTGCTGGCTACTTGAAGAGTGTTTGCAATCGTCTTTCTTATATAAAGAACATGGAATAACCACTGCTATCTATACTTACGTACATTGCGTGTATGCACTGGTATGCCAAAAATTTTAAAGCCTCATTTATGGGCACACTTATTGACTCGGGTTGTACATACGGTCACGCATTTCGCTGATCTACATGCACACACTCACACACATATACATGCGCACGCGCGCGGGCACAGGGCTTGGCTGGCACACAAAGGGAAGAAAGTCTGTGCGCGCTAGTTATACAGGGATCGAGAGAATAGAAACCATCCGAAAGCGTGCCCACGTATTCATTTACACTTATAAATCGAGTGTATTTTATATTAGAGCTCTTTTTTCTCTAAAGATATCGAAAGCTTTAAAACTATTTGTTTCGTCATCGAACCTGGCCTGAGCATAAGTTCTATTTTTTATTCAATTTATTCATAGTACAGAAAAAGAACAAGTTTCTTGACACAAAAAAAAAGTACTCGAAGTAATAAGATTATGTACGAATCATTTAGTTTTAAGTATATATGATCAGCTTTTGATGTGTATGTAACTCATACATAATGATCAAAGAGGGTTTTTAGAATAATTTTCGAGTGAAAAAAGAAAATTTTTTCAAAACTTTATACCTTAATCTCAATCATATAACATGAGTAATATTTCTTTTGTACTATATGTCTATTAACGAGATGATAAAATACGTTTTGAATTGCCTATCATTTATTAATGTTGTAATGGAAATAAATATTAAAAAACAAAAAATACCTTCTTCGTCTATAGGGGTTATTAATAATTGCGGAAACATTAAACTTTTCCAATCTCAAAAATTAGATGGCTGATTATTTAAAGTACTAAAGATATTTTTTTGCAGAAATACTATTTCATAAAAAGAGCTTTTTTTAATCGCTACATTATTTATGCTAGTTCGTCGTACACAGAGTGTTAGCAATTGGTTTTTCAAAAAACCGAGATTTGAACGTTTTTTAGTCTGCTTTTGGAAACCATGCGATTTTCATACTGTTATAAAGAAACTTATTGGCATAAATCTTAATCCCTTCAAAAGTTGATTAAAAATTTTTGAATTTGTGACAACGGTACCATAATCTGTTATTTTATTTTGAGTTCAAGTCCTATTAGTTTATCTGATTTTTTGCGCGTATTTTAACCCGTCGATAACAAATATCGAAGATAAATTTAACGAAAATTTTAAGTTTTTGTGGTGAATTATTTATGAATGCACATGCTAGAAAAAAAGGTTTTAGAGTTATTATGTAATAATATTGTAATTTTCAATAGGAGTAGAATGAACTTATATTAAATATTGTACATTACCTAATATCATATACGTTAAAAAAATATGATTCAATATTATATAAATGATATGGATAGTTTCTAATTTTTATTTAAAAAAAAAACAAATCTCAATTGTAATAAAAACGATTTTGGCTACATTACTTCGTTCAACTTAAGGAAGCATTCTGGTGTGCAACTTGTTAAAAATCGAGTTTTTTGTGGCATTATCGAATTGTTTACACTTTCAAGAACCACCTTCTCAACTCTGGCATAGAAATTTGAGTTTTAAATAAGTCAAACGTATATGATTGAATGAAATGAAGTACGCGGCGTTAATGGCAGAAGAAAACTTAACTCGACTGAACGTTTTCATAGCTGGTGGGCAGCCTTTATCAAAAAATACTCGGCCAATCGTTCTAAAATTTTTACTTTTTATTACTTACACATGTGGCTATCGTTTGAAACTCTAACATTTTAAGAACTATCCATCTAAGTATTTTTTTGAGGGGAGGGGCATTGTAATTTTCGACCGAATTTTTAATTTTTTTGTTTTTGTCTTTTTTGATTTTCTAGGTTTTCAAGAGAATTGTGTTGAGGGTAGTCATACACCAATTCGATCTCCTTTATCATTTTTGTGATATAAACCACAGTTTAATGTCAATCTACATTTGCAACATAAAATTGACCTCTTTGAGCCCTAAAAAAAGTTTAAAAAGTAGCAAAATAGGCCTTTGCATCTAAAAATAGCTTATTTTTGTTATTTAAGAAGAATATGAAACCGTTTGAACGAAAATCCTAGCTGCTACTCTAGTGAAATGTCCCCTTATGGGGACACACATGTGTTTATGCTTATACATGAAGAACATGAAAATTAAGGATTACTATTACAAATTTTTTGTTCTGATGTCAAAATATGTTTTTATAGGTCCTTTTACAACAAAAAATATGTCTCTAGTTCCTCTAATTATTAAGGGGAGGTTCTCATGATACTCGATCAAAGAATCGATTTTTTTTGCTTACTTAGTTCGTAAATGTCCCGTAGAATATACCCCCGAAACTCTTTTTGCCAAAATCGATTTAGTTTAAAAATTATAGGCAAAAAACCGAAGCTGTATTTTTACGAAGGATCGATGTATGTATGTATGTACATTCACTTTCTAAAACTTTAAACGCGTTTTTCTCGAAACCATGTTTTCTGAATCGGGCGGCAAGATATCTCGAAAAGTACTGCACTTAAAGGTACACTTTTTATTTTATTTTAAAGCTAATTAAATTGTCTGGAGGTTAAACCTATAAAATTTTTAATTTTTTCATTATTATTACATTTGCAACATACTGCTACAAAAGTCTGTTGTTGAAAGAAACACAGGACTGATGTACCCGTTGTTCTAACGTATTTTGCTTGCAATGCGCCAAACGGAAAGCTTATTTTAATATTGATTATATTTAGGAGTATAATTTTTTGCTGCTGAAATCTGTCAAATACAGATAACGAAAAAAAACTCACGAAAAACACGTCATTTTCGAGGCGCTAGATGAGAGCCTCCCTTTAAGAATCATCCATTATTCATGTATATTGACTTGGAATTCCAAGTCATTGACCGCTCGATTTTGAATGCAATTTTTCACCAATCCTGATCCTTGGGGTCTCAAAAGTTGTGTAATAAAATTCTTTCCCACTTAAGTGTAACAGAATTTAAACAAAAGGCTTGGAAAATTTTTTTCATACTACAGTACAAAAAAAAAGACAAAAATTGCTACTTTAACCCATTAACGACCAAAATGCTTGATTTTTTTGTTGGTTTTCGCAGCGATTTTTTTTGTAGTTTGAGACCTTAAAAAAATTTCGCAGGGACCTATTTCGATGTAAAATTTAATGCCCTTTCAGAAACTGAGCGCAAAATTTTGATTTTTTGCGTAATAAAAAAGTTATAGCTACTTAAACAAAAAAAAACGTAAAAATTTTTGCAAAAAATCAAGTTTTCGATTTTTTTTCGCCATGTTACCGATAAGGAATCACGATATAAATATGATCAGGGGTGATCACGACTACCAAAGTATCTCAGAGAATTTTTATGGAATTTTCGAACCATTACTTCAAACAAAAAATAACTCATATTCATATAAAACATGACTCATTTTTACTCGAAAACTATTGAATTTAGAGAAAAAGTGCACAAAACGAAGATTTGAAAAGTGGTTCAAAAATTCCATAAAAATTCTCTGAGATACTTTGGTAGTCGTGATCACCCCTGATCATATTTATATCGTGATTCCTTACCGGTAACATGGCGAAAAAAAATCGAAAACTTGATTTTTTGCAAAAATTTTTACGTTTTTTTTTGTTTAAGTAGCCATAACTTTTTTATTACACAAAAAATCAAAATTTTGAGCTCAGTTTCTGAAAGGGCATTAAATTTTACATCGAAATAGGTCCCTGCAAAATTTTTTTAAGGTCTCAAACTACAAAAAAAATCGCTGCGAAAACCGACAAAAAAATCAAGCATTTTGGTCGTTAATGGGTTAATAACACTTATTGCTATATTTGGAGATGAGTAAATGAAAAAAATAACTAAATAAAAAATTTGCTACACTTACGTGGAAAAGAATTTTATTACAAAATTTTTGAGACCCCTAGAATCAGGATTGGTGAAAAATTGCATTCAAAATCATGCTATCAACGACTTAGAAATCACAAGTCAATATACATGAATAATGGATAAATCTTAACAATAAGAGGAACTAGACACATATTTTTTGTTGTAAAAGGACCTATAAAAACACATTTTAACATCAGAAACAAACAATTTTAATAGTAATTCTTAATTTTCATGTTTTTCATTTATAGGCGTAAACAGAGGTGTGTTCCCTTAAACTGCATCAAACTGTTATTGCCGTTATTCAATATTGCTGTTTTTGTGGGGGGTTTGTTCATTTGAAACATATTAAAAACACTTTAATCCATATTCTTAGTTGTACAGTTTTGAAGTGCTAAAAATTACCTTCAATTTGGTTACTTTAGAAACATTCTAAGTCATATAGAACCGGAGATACAGCTATATGACGATTCACGAAAAATCCATGTATCAAATCTAGTTCATCAGCGCTTCACAAATTTGATACTTGAATAACAAAAATAATCTATTTTTAGAAGCAAAGGCCTATTCTGCAACTTTTTTGGGGGCTCAAAGATGTCAATTTTATGTTAAAAATTTAGATTGACATTAAACTGTGGTTTAAATCATAAAAATGACAAAGAGGAGCGAATTGGTGTATGATTCTCTTCACAACTTTACGTTAATCCAAGCAAAATTGACAGAGATATAGCCATTTTAATTCAAGTAAGATCTGTTCGTTTTTTTAGCCCCGATCACATGTTTAGTACGGCGGTTCGAAAAACCACTTTAGACTCCGATCGCTTTGTAATGGCAAAGAATATTAGTATCCCTTAAGGGAGGGGTATGGTGCTGATTTATCGATTTTTTTCTATTTTTCCAATTTTTTTTTTTATTAGTAAAAAAAAAAAATTTATTTCTACAATGTACATGTGAAAGTACATGACTTTAAGAGTACTTTGTGAAAATTTCATCAAAAAATTTTTATTTTTGGACTTTTGAGAGCAAATCTACGGAAAAGTCGTGAAAATTCTGGTGAGACACGTAACTTTTCACAGAATCATCTGAAACGAAAAATGCAAAATTACCTCATTAGTTTATGAGTTTTATCACGTACTGACGTAGAGTTTTTTCATTTATAGTGATTTTTCGAATTTTGACGTAATTTAGAAGTTGAAAAAAACGTTAAAATTGCGTCCAGACCTGAAAAATCAACCTTTTTTTTCGGAAAATTTGTAATAAACAAAAAAATTTTAGGAAAAATCGAAGTATTTAGACCTGAGTACCTGCTCTAAGAGTTTATAAAGAACTGTGCAAATTTTCAAAAGGATCGGTTGAATACTTTTTGAGTGACGTTTCTCACCGATTTGAAAAATGTCTTTTCGAGGAATCGCAGTTCATTATACGTCAAGATTTTTCAAACCGGTGAGAAACCCCCTCTTAAAAAAGCGCGAAGCCGCGATGTAGGCGCATACAAATGATATCTTCAGTTAACGCATGAGGCTCAAAATTTGAATTTCGTAAAAACAATATCATCATGCTTGAGAAAGAAATCACAGCAAAATTTCTCGCTGCTGGATTGACCGATTGGGCTGAAATTTTCAGAGCTTGTTTCAGATATTAACAGGAGATTCTTTGTAAAATTTTAGCCTTCTAGGTGCCTTAAAAGCAAAAATATAGTCATAAGGAGATTGAAAAATGACGTTACGTTAAATTTTTTTGTACGGGGTTTTTTCATTTTTACTTGGGCTACAATATAAAACGGTAACGTCTTGTGTCATGCTTTAATCTACATTTATTGATTTTTCATTCAGTTTGTTAAAATTACACATGCTAAACAAGCTTGAGTCCCAATAATAATTTCATGGCCTTAAAGAACACAAAATTACCTTTAATTTGGTTTATTTAAAAATTCCCAAAGTTCATAGAACTGGAGATACAGCTGTTTCAAGGTTTACTGAAAATTAAAATACTAAATCTGTGAATTTATCATATGATGATCATACCATATTTGAACCGAGAAATTTTGCTGTAATTTCTTTCTGAAGCATGATGATATTGTTTTTATGAAATTCAAACTTCGAGCTTCATGCGTTAACTGAAGATATCATTTGTATGCGCCTATTCGCGGCTTTTCGCTTTTTTTAAGTGATACGCGAAGAAGATTACACTGTATGTTTAGAGTTGCAAAAAGTTTCAAATAAGTAAGGAAATCTTTGAAGTATCAATGATTATGAAATCCAAATGCATACAAAATAAAAAAAAAGTATTCTTGAATTTTGTTGAATGAATAATGTGATTGTTTACCATAAACTTGAAGAGAGTGTAAAATAAATTTCTGATAAGTATTGATATCTCTAGAAAAAAGAAAATGATTAAAATTATTACCCAAACGTACTTTGATAACAATTTCAAGTCGTATCTTTATTATCATTAAAGTTTTTATATAAACCAGAATTCTATTACAACTCATTTTTTGAGTTTATAAAACTTAAACTTTACGTAGGACATAAAGTTATGCGGAATTTTTCAATATATAGGGAATGACGTTATAACCTTCAACTATTTTTACAAGTCTACTCTTATGAATATGTGCTTGAATGCCATCGATGAATAAGGTCAGTTGGCGCTTAAGGTAACGTTGACAAAGAAAAACATATGAAAAGCTTATAGAGCACACTATTTTCTTGAGTAAAGAAGCACACTTTAAAGAAGAGAGACACGATTCGGGAGCGATTTTCACGTTTATTTGATGCGATGCGTACGCCAATATATGCACTTTGCATTTTTCTTTACAATCTTTTCGCAATGCTCTTACAAACTCCAGTTTTATATTAACTGTTTGTGTACTCTACTTCTTCTTATTTGAATTCAACATTGGTAAATGCATATGTATATAAATGAACGCTTCAATTGAGCTATCGTAACACTTTGGCGAGGATTTGTTTCTGTTTTCGCTCAACTATGAATCAATTTTTTTATATAAGATTAAAACTTTATTACAGTATATTTTTAAATAATATAGGATAAAATGACTAGTTTTCGGACACTTGAGAAAATTCTTTTCTTTTTTGCATTTGTAAAGCTTGCTATTTACTTTGGCTACACCAAAAACATACTATTTAAGAGAAAAAAATTAAAAATTTTCGATTGAGTATATGCACTTGATTACGTGAAAAATATCTTTAAAATTTGATTTTCAAAAACAGACGAGAAATCTATTTTACTTATCACTCAGTAGATGCTTCTAATCGTAATTTCGATGAATTGATTTTGTATTTTGTATTAGATGTTAGATATGACTATCCTCAACTATAATTCATAAAATATATAAACTTTCAGAGCTTTAATATATACTTAATAAAAAACGAATTATCGATGTGTACGATAACTTAACGTTACACCTCAATGAATTTTTTTTTAATTTTTAAGTCAAAAACGACTTTAGAATATCTATAGAAAAAATATTTTCATAAGCAGCGACATTAGGGTCTAGAAACTAGGCTTCCGGGACCTTTTTCTATAACTTGTCAAAACCGCATTCAAATTCGAGAACCCAAATGTACAATTATTTGAAAAATTCAGGGCCTCGCCTACATACATTATTAGCTTGAAGGAAAAGTCGATATATCTAGAGCATTCTGTCCTTTCTCGATCAAAAAGCTGGGATCCGATCGACATGACCCAACGAGCTTGAACAATCAAACATGACTGGCATGTTATCACCCACCTATGATCTCATCCCCAAGCTCCCTAGCAAGTGCACACTCTACGTGCCACGTTCATACTACTATAGCCAAGACGTTAATTCTCTTGCTAGTTTGAACATATTTACTTCGATCGTTATTTGGACAGTCTTTGTATTGTAGAATGTCCCCGCCTTCCTGACTACACCTACAGAACTAACTTGTTATTTGTAGATAGTGGTATTGTATAAAATTTTCAATACAAATGAACACAAATTTTTCAAAAATATACTATTCATTTTTAATCATTTTCCATAAATTATTTGCATTTTATTATACGTACAAGTAGCTAAAGTTTATTTCTTGCTGAGATTGAGGTCGCGGCCATGATAAATGGACAATCGAAAAAAAACCTCATACACGCTCAGCACTAAAGAGTAAAATTTGACCCAAAAAAGAGTAAACTGATCTTTTTACTCTTTTTCGGGTCGAATTTTCCTCTTTAGTGCTTAACGTGTAGAGCTATTTTGATTCATTTGATGACTTGGGATTCTACGATCGATAGTTTAGATGTGTGAAATGCTTACGAATAAGTTCTTTAGAATTGTATGAGTATATTTAACTGTTTTTAAGTATCTAACTGAACAAAGTACTTTCAAATGGGGCATTGAAATAAGTTATAATGCAACGGGTGTGTAACGAGTATTACTGGAAAAGATTATTGACACTAGTTGCATACTAGTACTTTACGATACTAGTGCCATAAGTAACACTTTTTGGCATGGCGTAGTTTAGGGACCGAAAACAGCGAGGGTCCTAATAGCTGGGCCAAAAAGTATTCTCATGGCACGAGTGTCGTACAACATTATATAGCACTGTGCTAAGTTCACATTTATGCCCCCTTTTCCGAGTCATGAGTCGTGCTTTCTGGTAACGTGAAGGGAGGTTAGCGAACGAGTGTATGCGAGTGTGATGCTTGTGATGAGTGTGATACCGCCTAGAGAGCTTAATTGTGGAACACATACACGCACTCGAGCCTTCTTAAGGGTTTCCATAGTTTTGTCGCATTTTCTATGTTTTGATATTCTTTAACCCATTAACACTCAAAGTGACGAACTTTTTTATTCGCAATCAACGCGATTTTTTCCCATGTTTTAGGCTTTGAAAAGACTTTTAGCTCATATATGGATTTATGAAAAATTTAAGGCCCTTTTGGAATCCAGGCTCAAAAAAGTTATGGTTGTTTCAACAACAAAAAAACGTAAAAATTGTTGCTAAAAATCAACTTTGAGAATTTTTTTTTTAACTATTCTGGTCGAAATTTCAAGATGTAAATATTATCAGAGGTGATTATGGATGAAGAATTACTTTAGGGAGTTTTTCCACATTTTTCCAACCACTTTTTCTAACAAAATGGCGGATATATGCTAAATAGCGTAATCAAGGGTCTAAAAAATAGTCACACAAAAGTTGACGTGTAGAATTAGTGGAAGGACAAAGAGTTTAAAAAAGAAGGATGATGTTATGAATCGTTAAAAAAGTAATATCCGTTCTTTTGGAATGTTGCAGATGATACTGCTACTAGAGGCCAACTAGCTGAGAATAAGCTGAAATATCAAGGATCTACGTATTGGCAAGGTTACTTTACTCGTTGATCTCTTTAGGCATCACAGTAATCCGAACTGTAAGTGCCATCGTTCGCAAAAATTGTCGCTGCAGGCCGACTAGCCGACAGAAATAGTAGTGGCGCAGAGGTAGAGGTAGGTTTTATCCACTGGTTTATTTTTCTTTCCTTGTTTTTTCTAATCTTTTTCCTTTTTTTTTCTTCGCATTTCTTATTCAACTGTTGCTTCGTACGAATATTTTGATGCGTCTTGTGAGCTTATCTTTCTCCTATACATGCATACTAAAAAGCACATGTTTTTTTAACCAGTGCTAGACATGTGTTATAGTAACATAGATTTCAAGCTCGGTAACGTACGTGTGTATACCTTAGGGTTATCCACTTTTTCAAAAAATGTTCGGATCTCGGCAGATCTGACGTATTCTAAAAGTTTATTGTTTGAAACTAGGCGAGTGCTGTAACGAGTTTTATTGACAAACCATACCTGCATCAGTTGATAATACCATTTTTTCTTACGAGATCCTAAAATTAGTGACAAAGTTGCCTATTTTAGGTTAGAGTGGGAAAAAATCATTTTATACCGCTGCGTGGCATAAGTTCACATTTATGGCACGCTTTTCGGTGGCATAAGTCGCACATTCTGGCACCGCTGCGTTCGTATCACACTCGCATACGCTCGTGCGCTAACCTCACTTCGCGATACCAGTAAATGCGACTTATGCATCGGAAAAGGGGGCATAAATGTGAACTTGGCACAGTGCTATAAAATGTTACACGATACTCGTGACATAGGGACACTTTTCGGCCCAGCTATTAGGACCCTCCCTGCGCTCGGGCCCTAAACTACGCCATGCCAAAAAGTGTTACTTATGGCACTTGTATCGTAAAGTACTATTCTGTAATGAAATGGCGTTTTTTTGAATTTTGAGGACGTAAAAAATGCTAAACTTGTTTTAGGAGTAACACGACTCTAGGATTTTCAAAAAATCGATTTTTTCAGTTTTACTTGAGAGCTTCCTTACAGTATATAGAATAATGTCTAATGGGTTTTCCAGGATAAAATACTTTTAACGTGTTTTTCTCGAAACAACATTTTTCGACACTGCCGGTAGAATATCTCGCAAAATAATGAACTGATCGAGCTGAAATTTTAATTGCAACTTTAAAATTGTATTTTCAATCGAAGCACTCAGCCATTTTTAGATTGGTTTATTATTTAAATTTTTATAAACAATTTGCGGAAAAATTTTTTGATAAAAATTTTATTTTTTTGTTTGGAAAGCTGCTATTTTCACAATTTTTACTTTGGAGATTAAACCCAACGTATTTCGTTAGAAAAAACATTTAACTTTAAGAGGATATGTTTACTTTTGTTCTAGTTGCCTTAGAAATTGAGAAATTTTACCGGCAGCGAAAAAAGCACTATTTTATAAATTGGCTGTATCTCCATTTTCAGATAAAAATCGATAAAAATTTTTTTGAAAGTACTTCAAGACGTGTATTATAAGTTCTCAAAACCCCAAATTGATTGATCTATCTTGTTCCCCGCTATAAATTCCCGAAATTTGGTATTTTTAAAAAATCCTAGAGCGGTGTTACTCCTTAATGATGAAAAACTGAACAGAAAAAATTTGAAAAAAGTTTAAAATACATATTTTGTTAGAATTTTTTCATATGACTCGAGTCCTGTCATCAGTTTTAGCAACAAAATTAATTTCAGTGACGAAAGTGTACTGTTTTGATTTTTTTTTACAAAAAATAGTCACAACATTAACAAAGTATGTACTTTTGATGAGTACATTGAAAAATGACAACCCTAAAATTGTTAGCCCTCTAGATCCATCCCTCATGGATCTACAAAGTCTCAAAGTTGGAATTTGATTTTTCGCTGGTCTAATCGCTGGACGAACACATTTATTTTTTGACATTTACACTTTATTGCACGTGTCGATGAGCTATTGGGGAATCGTAAGCGATATATATAGCCACCGCGAAATGCAAAGATGGCGGACTTATCCCAGACGTCAACACAGGATGTATGGGAGCCGCGCAGTTAATTAATTTTTGTAAATGAATGAAATAGTTTTACGAGAATCTGATCCAGTCAATATAATCCTCATTTAAATATGTTCATGTACAAAAATTTTCGTTAAAAAACGTCTGTCCCTTCGCCTGTTATCATTTAATTAAATTTGCTTAACCCTCTATCTGACGTTTATTTCGGCTGCTGCAGCCCCACCATAACCTCGCTTAGACAGCTGTAGCAGCCGAAAGTAAGTTGAAGTACCTTTTTTTTGACACGACCTCCATCAAACGTTGCTAGGCGATAAATAATTCGATATTTTGGTCTGAAAAAATTTGTAAATATAGTTAAATACATACTTTGTAAGTACCAAAAAACTTGATTGCATTATTCACTTCCTTCCGCGAAAAAAAAATCACGAAAAACACGTCATTTTTGAGGCGCTAGATGAGAGCCTCCCCTTAAATCCCGTGAATAATACTAAAATTTCTGAAAAATATAAATAAAAATATTTTCTTCCTCTTCACGATGTAATTTTTTTATAAAATCGATGAATCCTAATGTTCTTGATCCGTAAATAAAGCTTAATAGCACATTTTCTCAAATAATTTCTTAAACATGTTAGAACACACTCAGACAGTTTGAATCTCACTCTCCTCGTGATTAGCCAGATGAGGTCGAGAAGGTTCTCAACAAATAGTAGCTCTGCACGAGAATAAATGACTAACCTGGCATTGGCTAGGTTTTTACACAAAAAATCTGTGTTTTATTCTAGTACGTTACCAATCTATTGCCTAAACTTGAGCCGAAAACTAGTAAGCCTCTGAGCAAGTGCAATTATCGATCAAGGCAAAGCCGAGGCTGACAAACATGTACTCTGAGGCTTTCTTTTTTTCTTCATAGGTGTGTATGCTATTTTTCATGAATCACGCAGAAGACATTAATCTTTTAATTTTGGATGCAGGGCCGAAAAAGGTAAATTTTGGCTGGGTAGCATGAAAAATCGTAGTAACTTTTAAAATATTAAACAGATCGAAATAAAACTTTTTCGGGCTTCATCTTTAAAATATACGATAATAAACGCAGTCGCACCAACGAAAGGGCCATCAGTGTCAACAGATGGTACCGTTGCACCAAGAATTACTGCGCCATCGTCATTTGGACGTAAAGAACGTATTTAATCACATCTTCGATACCTTGAACGAGTTGAAGGTTCCGGCATACCTAGAATACTTACAGGAAGGCGCTAACCAGGACATCACTTTACTTGGCTACAAGAAAAAAAGAAACGTAGACCATAATCACAACACTTTTCCTTCTCTGTAAAAGTCATCTTTATTGATGCCGAAAGTTACGTCTTTACTCCTCGATCACTCGTAGGACACTTAACAGCCACAGCAAAGGACATAAACTTCAAACCTCATAATCTTCAACGATGCAAACTACACTTTGCAGCTTCAACGTGCACATCCGACTAACGATCCGAACTGGTTGACCGTTTTAACAAAACTGCCTTTCTACACAGATTACTAAAAACTCATGCAACACTTCACTGGGACACTGATAATGGAGCGCGCGTCTATACTTGCTCGGTGTCTTACCGAGCCCCAACACCATACACCAAAACTAAAATGCAATTAATTCAGCGAAGTGGGCCTGAAGAACGCGCTATTCAAATGTTTAGCAACTATGCATGATAATCTTAGAGAAACGGCTTCTATCAATGCTAGCTTGCGTTGATACAAGAATAGCTCTTTAGTGCGTGTCTACTGGTGTACACCTCCAGATTTCTCTTGCCCCACAGGTCTTCGGGACTGGACCAATGCAATATTGTGGGAGGGGGGTAAAAATCTTTCCTGCGCACGAACTATACCTCCTGCAGGCTTTCGAAAAAAGGATAAATGAGAAGGAAAAAAAAGACGTCTTGGAGGGAGAAAATGTCAAAATAATAATCTCGTACTGGCACTAGTACTAAACATGAGCTTAACTTTAAGAATGAATACATATATAGTAATTAATTTTCCAATAATGCAAAAACATTTAATTGTATACATACAACATATGTGCAGGTACTATGGGAAAAGAGGCATGGATACCGACGAAGGGCTACGAGCCAGCAGCAACTGCAGCAGTAAAAGCAGCGCCAGCAAAGGGAATCAACTATTATCTCGTCACGAACAGGCAGTTGTCAGCCCGCAAACCCTTCATGTTCACAACTCGGCAAATAGCTTATTAAAGCATAATGTTTGTAGGTACGACTCCAGCTTCGATTATTTATACCTCGATGGCTACGGGTAATTTTTCCCTCTTCAAGGGCTTATATACATTTTAAATTCAAAATTTTTTTTATTCAATTTTTGAATAGGATTTTTTCTCCCCTTTCCATTGCATATTTCGAAATTCTAAAATTTTGATTTTGCACTGAGACACAGCTGTTTTCGTGACCCTTTTTCCTATACTTTACGTGTTAAATTTTTTCTTCTTTTGCGTTTTCTGGCAAGTAGTGTTTTTGGTCACCTGTCGTAATATTCAGAGGGTACCAATTGAACTTTCTGCACCAGGGTCGCGTACACTTCTTCAGAACATCAATGCTCACGGCCACTACTACGGGTCAGACGATTGAGCTTATAGATCATCCTCAAAACGTACTTTTATGACTTAAATTTCGGCAAAAACGGAAACTGAAAAAAAAGTGTGTTTAACTGTTCATGCATAGCAATCTGAGTGTTCGGTCGTCTCAGCCGTAGTAGTGGCCGTTAGCATTGATGTTCTGAAGAAGTGTACGCGAACCTGGTGCAGAAAACTCAATCAGTACCCTCTGAAAGTTACGTGAGGTGACCAAAAACACTACTCGCCAGAAAACGCAAAAGAAGAAAAATTTTAACACGTAAAGTATACGAAAAAAGCTCACGGAAACAGCTGTGTCTCAGTGCAAAATAAAAATTTTAGAATTTTGAAAAATACAATGGAAAGGGGAGAAAAAATCCTTTTCAAAAATTGAATAAAAAAATTTTTGAATTTAAGGTGTATATAAGCCCTTAACATCTTGCAGCTGTTTTTAAAATTTTTTTGGGGTTAACCATGGTGAATGGTCCATTGAACAAAATGAAACCACATAGAACTCAATTGAGTCATGCCATTTCTTGGAATTCTATGACAGGTAGTTTACATGTATTCAAAGCTTGGCATAAAATCTCGACAATAAATAATTCAAATTCTTTTAAATAAGATATTGAAAAAAGATATTTTCTAAAAAAAAATTTTTTTCTCTTGTTCAGCCTGATACCATAAATAAAAATATAAAAACATTCAAGCCCTCTATAAGCCCTTAATAGCGAGTAAAAACGTTATTGAAATGTGAAACGGATCAAATTAATTCATTAAATTCCATTACAGATGCAGTCAAGGAGTCTTCGAGTCTTCCGAACTATGTCTTGTATCCTGCGAGCCAACGTATGCATCAGCTTGTTGGCTGTGGGAGCAACCGAATACTGACGACATGTGCAATACAGCAAAAATCATAAGCAGACAACATCCGTCGATATCAGCCAAAGTAGTCCCGCTTTGTAGGCTTTTCAAGCCAAAAGAGGATGAGGTGACCATTCGACAGCAGTGCGAATGGAGGAGACAACAACAGCATCGAGCACTTCGGAGGCCGTACGGACAGGCCAAACTCAGGCTTGCTATCGAGATGATCACAGTCACATTCATCTTGAGCATAGCCTTACTTGTGACACCGGGTAAGTTTTTGCAGATTATGCATGATAAAATAGTATTTTACGATACAAGGGCTATGAGTAACAGTTTACCGTTACATAATAGCCGTGTCGGAAAGTGTCCCCTATGGCCCGAGTATCGTACTCAATTTTGCAGCACTCATATAAGGTCACATTTATGCCCCCTTTTTCGAGTCATGAGTCGCACTTTCTGGTACCACGAAGTAAGGTTAGCGCATGAGCGTAGCGAATGTGATGCAACATTTATTACACGCTTTTTGGTGGCATAAGCCGCACATTCAGGTACCGCTGCATACGCATCACACTCGCATACGCTCGTGCGCTAACCTTACTTCGCGCTACCAGAAAGTGAGACTGATGTATCGTAAAAAGGGGCTTAAATGTGAACTTAGCACAGTGCTATAAAATTGTGTATGATGTTCGTGCCGCAGGAAACACTATAACGCAGCTATCGGGACCCTCACTATACACTTGTATCATAATGTACTATTTTTCTTATTTTCATTAATTTTCCATGTTTTTATCTTTAAAGTTCTATCAAATACTGCTTTATGGTCAGTCTATGACTAAGTTTTAGAAAAAATTGTATTTTAGTGTTTAAAAGAACATATTGCAATATTGCTCAACTCGAAGGATACAAACAACTTAATTTTTGGTCTCTTATGATATTTTCCATTTTTTCATAAAAAATCTTTGTTCAAATATTATTTTATTTAACCCCCATAAAAGGAAAAAAGAATGTAAAAAATTAAAATCCAACTTTTAGCCTTTGCAGGTTCATGAAGAATCGACCTAAAAAGATAAAAATCGGAAATTATCGTTCTTTAATGTAATCTTTAAGTTAACGTACACGGTTTCAATTTCATTTTCTGAAAGTTAACCCACAATTGTAGCCCATATAAAAGCAGTATCAAAAGTAAACATGAGTCAAATAATAACGATTTAATAATATAATAAAGATCTTATGAAGTTTATTAAATTTTTGAAGATTCAGAAGCGCTTTAGTATACTGCTAAGGCTCAAATTTATATTTTCTGTTTGTAATCGATATTATAAACTTTCGATCATTCTGAGAAAATAATAAAAAAAGATTTTTAATGATGAGTAAGATATTTTAAATGAATTATGTAAAATAGCTATGAAAAAGAATGAGAATACGTATTTATCATTGTAGGTTTGTGTAATCACCAGGATGCAGTTCATATAACGGCAATACTGGGTGAAAGTGTGGTGTTCAATTGTCATGTGGAGTTCCCGGATCAGCACCCTGTACCATATGTGCTACAGTGGGAGAAGAAGGTAGGCGACACGGTACGATATCGGGCTGCACCAGAGCAAGCCATTGACCCTACTTCTCTGCTCTCTGTCCGTGAGTTAAAATCGAGGGCCTCGCTTAATGCCAAGGGAGTCTTCCTGGTGCCAGTCAACTCAGCCGCAGCTCAATTGCTGCCCGAGCGCGTCCGACAGAAATTAAGTCGACAGTGGCTAAAGCTCGCCACCGGTGAGGACGTTGGATTCTTGGTAAGGGCATTTTGTCCCGTTCGTCGCTGCCATTCTTTCTTGCACTTCAGAAGTAGTATACATTAACATGTGCAGTAATTGTACATGTATGTATATATGAACTGCTTCTCTCTTTTATATACAAGTAATATCTTTTGACTCTTTTTCTGGAAACCTGTAACGCGTAGCACATATCGTTTTCTTTTTCTGTCCGACTTGCCCAGCGAGTCTGATATACTTTGTTTACACTGTATTTTGAATATTATATTATAACATAACTATTAAATTGGGTTTTACAAATCGGTTTTTGGATCGAATTTTTCATGCTCTTTCTTGGTAATTAGAAAATATCGATTTGTTTTATGTAAATTGGGTCAAAAATATGGATAGCTGAAGCAACCAACTTTTATAATTCAATTGTAGATTTTTGATACAATAAAGCACGCAAAAATTGTATTTATAAGAAAATTAAATCTTACACTCATTCGCCTTTACTTTATGAACTGAATAACTGATGTAACTATTCACGTTAGCAACATGTACTTTATTTTTTCTTATATTTGTATATAAGTTAATAATAATTGTATGAATAAATTGCCAGCTACTATTCATGTTCTGTATTTTTGTACGGCAATGGATATGTATTTTTTAACTTTCGTAGTAGTTGACGCGCTTTATTGAAAAGTTGGTGCTGTATCTTTCTTCTACACAATTGGGTAAATTTTTTCATTCAACTGGAATTTTAGTTGAGGTAATTGTTAGATACATTGAATAATCTATGAATAAAGTATTTGTAAGTTTGAGTATACTTCAAATATTATATATTTGATCATTTCCAATCGAAGATGACATCAACGGAGTCTCAACATTACGAATTTTGAAACAAAAAAAAATTAATGATTACATTTTTGAACCGATACTGAACAGGTAAAATTATGGTTTCTAGAGTCAAGTCACTTGATATTATTTAAAAAGAACATATGTCTAAACAAAGACTTGATAAACATTTTATTTTGAGATTACTATTATAATTTATGATACAAGTGCCATGAATAACACTTTATAGCACTGTCTTTTGCATTGCACTCGCTACGATAAACCGCCTCATGAATGGGGGCACAAATTTGAACTTAACACAGTGCTATAGAATTGGATATGGATAACGTGCCAGAGAGAACCCTTTTTGGCACGACTATCAAAACCATCCCTGAGCCCTAAACTACATCATAACATTATTTGTACTTGGATCAGGGTCAGTTTCACTGCGCTCAAGCCCTAAACTTCTCCATGACATAAAAATTTTACTTCTTGTGCTTATAGTGTAAATTACCATTTGGCAGAAGTGTTATTCATGTGAAATTATGGCAACGAAAAACTCGAGAGTCCATTACACGGATGGTTAGAATATTTTGACCAATTTTATCAAAAAAATTGAATGTACTTTAACAAACTCTTGTTCTCACAAATTCAATTTATTTTCCGTGACGTTTTTTTCGAAAAGTTTTGTTGTTATAAGAAGAGTTTGGCATCAGGAAGCTGCATAAATGGTGAGCCCTCGTTTAATTCGTAACATTGTGTGAAGCATTAATAAAATTTTTGTCGATGTGTTCGTTTTTTGTCAAAATAATTGTCTTTTCTACGTTTTTGCCTTACTTTGCTTACAAATTTTTTATTACTGTTTTTAAACAAACAATACGATTAAATACATGAATGAAACACTTACACTCAAATATAATGATAAGTGCCATATTAATCATATTACTGTTTCATATCACGGTAAATCGCAAAGAACAAAGTTTTTGCCTGAGATTTGAAAAATAAATATTTACAAACTAAAACAATTATTTCTCCGGAGTGGGGAGGGCAGAGGAATCCTGCATTCAAATAACAACAGCTTCAAAATATATAACGTTCAATTTAACGCGTCATTTTCCACATTCTCATTACTATTAATTCAAATCTTTGATCATATATATTACCCCATAAAAAATCACTTGAATTAAAATATACTATGACGAGTTTACGGCTTTTCCTCCTAGCAATTAAAAATTATTCAATTTAATATTTATAGTATGAATTTAAGTCACATAAGTGGTCTCATAAGTTATATATTTTTTAAATACAAAAATTTGAATCACATGAATATTACTACTCTTTTTTACTCAATCTTCTTTTATGCATGAAAATAATTCTAATCAGTATCTTATCAGTCCAAATCGATGATGTATTTTTTTTTTTTTTTTGAATGCTAGATGATTCATTACTTTCAAATGTAGAATTTAATAGCACAACGATATTTAATGCTTTCACATGTAAATTTTTCCTAGAGACATGAAATCGGGTGTACTTTTTTAAACTAAATTTACAATTTTTAAATATAATCATTGTATTTTTAAATTATTCTAAGATCCTAAGCCTCATAATACACAACTCAAATTTTATTACAAAAATGATGATTGTTTTAACTTTTATTGAGCTCTCACTCGGTTATCTAGAATAATACAATTTCACACATTATTAATTTTGAAATTTAGTATTAATTCATATAATATCTGTCATTTGTAGTTAATTAATCCTTGGCTTAGTTCTAAACCAATTGATTCATTAAGGGCTCATAAGCACCTTTCAAGCGAAAAATATTTTATTCAATATTTGGAAAGTATTTTTCTTTGCCTTTTCATTATACTTTTTAAAACTTTGGAGATTTGATTTTCCCCTGAGGTACATCTGTTACCATGAGTCTTTTTTCATATACTTTACGTGTTATTAAATTTTTCTTCTTTAGCGTTTTTTGACTAGTCGTGTTTTTCGATTACCTGTCGTAACTTCCAGAGCGCACCAATTGAATTACATCGCCTAGGTGACATACACTTTTTTAGAACATCAATGGTCACAAACGCAATCCTAAAAGAGTTGCTGCACAGAGTTCAATGGTAAAATGCTCACCTGCCACGCGGGTGATCCAGGTTCGATTTCCGGCCGATGCACAAATTTTTCGAATTTTACTCTAAAATTCGCGTTAGGCCGTTTCATGGCGCAACGAGTAGGAATGAAAAATGAACCAACACTTTTATTTATAAGTATAAAATATTTACTATTAATTAGTTAAAGTAGTATTACAATTAGGCACGTTAAGAATCGATGTGCGCTCTGGGCGAAGTTCAAACAAAATCAGCTTGCTCGCTTGCGAGCACTCACTGGTGGGTTATACAATCTTACTCCTGCGGGGTGATAAGACGCATTCCGTACGCCCATATACATCGATTTTTCAACACAGAGGAAGATCAGATTTTAAAAGGGAAAGAAAAATTCTTTTCGAAATTTGAATAAAAAATTTTCCGTCGTAAAGGTGCCGGTTGGTTATGAGCCCTTAAGTCGTTTGTTGTTCAGATATTGCTTTTAGTTAATTAACTCTTGTAAAAATCGTTAAATCAAAAATGTACTCTAGACCATGAGTTGTAAAAGTGTGGTGAAGTGTCAATTATGATAGCCTAAAAAGTTAACTCCAATAAAAATATTATAGAATTCCACACTAATAAGATCACATACCTACGGAATACCAAATTGTTTTAACACTGTGTTAGGGACTTCTAATGCCGAATGATAATGCCCTCTATGCTTAATGTGACCCAATGGGTCTAGGAAAAATTTAAAAAAAAATTCGATACTATTTTTTTTACCAAGAAAAACACTTTCAGACTTTCAGAAAAAAAAACAAAAAACAAATTAGTTTTAGAACTGTAGTCGAAGAATAGGTCGATACTTTTTCATAATTTTCAAAACCGTATGGCATCCAGTTTCAAAAATCTGAAGTTTCTTCTACAGTAGATGGGCGGACTTTAATTAGATGTTCTTGAAACTCTAAAAAAAATTGGAAAGTATTCTTTGACTAATTCAAGAACTTTTTATTTCTTGGCATTTTTTCCCTACTTTTTGAAACATAAAATTACAACGATTTTTAGTAGAAAATAAGAACAGCAGCAAGATGTCTAACTTCTTTACGATCACATAAAAGTTTAATTAAAAATTAGAAAATCCAAGAAATTCAATCAAATAAATTAAAAATCAATTCTATAAAATATGAAACTAAGGTTAAATTATAAAGTAAAAAAAAGTCCAAAAACTAATCCAACCAGAATGAAAAAATACCTGAAATTTCACTTCTGGTGTGCATGGATATTCGACGATAAAATCACCAAATTTAGAAGTTTCTCTGCTTTGATGCGTTGCTACACATTATGTGCTCGCCACCAAAAATATAGCCAAGCTCTTATGCGAAGCTGGTTTACGAAGGTAGGATTTTATAGCATAGAATCATTTTTTTTTTATGTTACTTTACATGCGCTGATGCAGGAAAAAGGTGTAAATGTCAATAATTTCAACTTATATACTAGGTCATATGCTCCAAATATTTTGTATAATAATTAGCTTTGTTAAAAATAAATGTAAGTCTAAATTTTGATTATAATCGATGACTATGTCTGACTATATTAGCTTTGTATCCCTGATTTGGACTTATACTTCGACCCAATATTTGAACGTGATTGAAAATCACTTTAGCAGCATTTGACTTTTCCGATTGAGATTTCAGGGCTCAGTACATTTAAAAAACCATATTAATATTTATATCCTCTCCATGCGTTTTTCAAAAAGATAATCAATTTATTTATTCATATACTATGGCTTCCTGTGAATTCTCAGATGATTTATAGCATAGGTGCAACTTTTTAATAAGTTAATTGAGACTACTCAATATCAGTTTTACCATAAATTTATCTTAGAAAAAGCGCACGTACTACTTAAAAAGTGTCTACAGATTTTCGTGGTATTTAGATCACATCGAATAACTTCTAAAGCAAGATGTCAAATTTTGTTTTTTTTTCCCTGCAGCCCATACAGTTTTTCAATGATGGAATGTTTGAACTTTAGATTGCGTGCTAATCAATTTGAAATAAGTGGTTAGTAAGTTCAGTGCTTTATGTTGAGATAGGCTCTTTTTGTCTTTGACCTTTTAATAGTAGACCCTACCGGTATTGACCTTTTTGCTTCGACCCTTTTGTCCGGATACCCTTTTTAGATGTGCTTTCAAAAGTTTTTTGCATAAGTACCGAGGTATAAATCGTTTTTATACAGCCCTAAAATTGATGTATTCCTACAGAGCACATTTTCAATGAAATTGATGAAAAGTTCCATTGAAAGTACATGAGAAAATTCAAAGTCACATTCTAGCGTTACTACATAGGATTTTAATAAATTTTTCAAATTAAATTAGATTCCCAATCTAGAACAAGATGCAAGTTGGAACTTTTTATTTTTTTTAGTAATCAGAACATTGACAGTAAAGTTAAGTGGTTTTCTGGCTATGCTTTAGATAAGTAAGTTAACTCCCGATCACGTTAGACGTTGAGTTAAAGTTTCGCTGGACACTTCGTCAGTTACAAATAACAAACACACTACCCAAAGACTTTTCATATGCATTAATGAAAATTCGTTGCAGTCTTACTTGACATATTTGCGAATATTAGAATATAATTTATTTAGGTTTTCTGTTTTATTGAGGGTATCATGTGTATTGTTAATTAAAAACTATTTCCGAAATTAGACAACGTCAGTAATTTAACTCTTACAAGACCATTTGAGATGCATTTCCTCAAATGTCCTGAAAATTTTGTTGTTGTCTTCTGTAACCTAATAATGGAGCCCCCTACGTTTAGTTTCATCCAATGGGCCTTAGGGCCCATTTTAAAAATAATTTTCAAAATGCACAAGTCTAAGAATTAGTCAAAAGATACGTTTGAATTTTGTCAGAATTTTTGAAACCTGCTATACAAATATTTTAAAAACTGCAAATTTAAATTACACGCACCATATATTTTTTATGTTTCTTCTTCGGTCGGTGATAAAAGTTTGGCAAGACTTTTTCAAAACTTCGTTTGAAGTTGAAATGAGAATAGATAACTATACTTGCATGTCAAAAATACTTCAACGGTAGAATTCAAAACTTATCTGAAGTTATAGGGTGGCGGCACCAGTGAATGAATGGATTCACAAAATTATGCTTATAATCAATTGATTTAAAATCTAAATTTGCATTAATTCCAAGCGTGCATTCAAATTTGTGTTCGTTAGGACTTATTTCATAAATAAAAAAATTGAAATACATGAAAAATAATATTTCATAAAGTTATAAATGATATAACTCAATAAAATGGGGTACCCCAGTGAATGAATGGTAAAGAATTAATCAATGAATACTCTGGACCCAGTGAATGAATGAATTATATCACGGCACAAACATTGTCTTTTCATTTACTGGTATCGCGCTATGCCAAGTCGCATTATCCCAGTAAATGAATATATTCATTCACTATCAACTATATTTGAATTTTTGTAAAAAAGTGAAGCTAGTTGAACTAAAACTGATCATAGTATTTCAAACTTCAAGCATCAATAAAATAAAAATAATTTTTTGACGTGGCTTAAAATTTCCTTTCATATTCTAATTTTAATCTTTTCTTGGTCATTCATTCATTGGTGCTGTCACCCTATTAGATTGGTCAAATGTGTGATCGCAATTCAATGAGAGAGAGAGAGAGAGAGAGAGAGAGAGAGAGAGAGAGAGAGAGAGAAAATAGAATAGAATAGAATAGAATCGTATTTATTACTGCATTTTTAAAAATGGAACGTATTTCTAATTTTTATTCTATAAAAAGACAAGTAGTATGCCTATAGGATTATCTGTGTTGGCAATAATATAAAAATTATGGATTTATGGAATGGAAAATTTTGGCAAAATTGGATAGCACCATTGGAAAGCTGAGAAAAAAAAACAATCAAAAACATATTATTGTTAAATTTTTTGAGAAAAATCGGTACTGTCATTGTCACAAAACGTTAACATAGCGACTACTGCGAGCGCTGGCCGCGGCCGGACGGTCGAGCGCCGACTTTAATCTTTCTTGTAGCTCAAAATTTTCCGCTGTAGCACGTGCTGAACATTAGTGTTTTCGACGTAAAAATCCCACATCTTTCGATTGGAAACATAAAAAAAAAGAAGAAAACGTTGTTTTTTTCAATGTTCAACTTTGAAATATATTTTTCAATTTCTTTCCTGGAAAATGGAAAAGTTTGGAAAGTTTGACCTCATAATCGGAAAGCTGAGGTAATTTCCCATCAAAAACCTTCATCAAATATTTTTTCTAAAGATGTTTGATGGCCGGCTTTCTAGTGGAGTTAGAAATTGAGAGATTGTTCTTTAAAATGCTACTCGGCCGGGTCGCTATGACAGTTCAGGAATTTTGCCCCATATAGGGTAGTCAGACCAATCAATGACCGGGTACCAGTGAATGACCATTTTGAAAAATATCATATGAAAAACAATTAAAAATATAGTTGTATGGACGTAATTTAATTTTTTAGTGAACGATGCATCTCGTTTTCTATGTTCGATCATAATTTAACAAAGAAAAACGATAATTATTGCACATCCAAAAGTGGTCATTTACTGGTCGAAAGCGGTCAATCACTGGTATAAGTACCCTACATGTAAGACATGACCAGAGATTTTATCAAAAAGATCATTCATGACATAATATCTACTAGAGCTTTATCCTCACTCGCTACCGCTCGTTCGGTATTTTAGATTCGATTTTTTTTGAGAAATTTCTAATTTCGATTTAAAAAAAATGTACTACATATAGTACTACATGTATGCTACATGTATAATATTTTTATATATTATATAAACTGTAGTAATATTATACAGTAAAACTTTGATAATTCAAAAAATCCTAAATGCAGGCTGTAATTTCGAATTATCGAAGTTTGAATTAACAAAGTTTTACTGTAGTACAATTATAGTTCTAATATAGTACTATTATAGTGCTATTATAGTACTCATATAGTACTCCTATAGTTCTATTATAGTACTATTATAGTACTGTTTTTTTTAGAAATCGAATTCAAAAATTTTTTGAAATTTTTTTTCATCTTCATTGCGTAACATATAGGATATATAGGATTAATTTATCATATTATAGGAGGACACGTGGATAGTATCGTCAAAACATTGAACGAAAGAAAAAAATTAACTGGTCTGTTCTGTACTCATTAAATTTTTTATTTAAAAAAATTAGCCGATTAAGATCGTGTCTATGTTGATCTCTATTATGTAATAGACTTAAGTTATAGAGTAGTAAGGGTATCAAGTTGAATCAACATCATTTTCCAAACACAAGAGTTTCTGAAAATATTTTAATTAATTTTTTCACTCTCCTTAATGTAAATAGGTGAATTACAGCAATTTCAGTTTAAATTCATTAACTTTAATCGAATTTTAATTATCGTCACATTGTATAGTTATTTGACTTTTAAGAAATTTTTATACTCTCTGAAGAATACGAATTTAGGAGTAGGCAATTGCGAAATTTGAATTGCACTCAAAGAATCAACCCTAGTTGACACAAATAATCATAAGAAGGAAAACAGCTATTTTGAAGCATTGAATTACGGTTTGCTTTCCGAAATTATAATTACACGTAGCTTATTATAAAAGTTGCAAACAAGTAAAATATTATAATATATTATGATTATTATTAGAATTTGACTAAATTTGAATCTCATTTCAATATAGTTTTTAGAATATAGAATATAGATTTTTTTTAAAACTTCTTAGAGCCAAACATATCAATACAATAACTATTACAGATAATTTAAATAAAATTTAAACCAACACAATTAAATAAATTGTTCGGCAACAATTTACTTCTTTTATTTAATAAACTCAAAAATTTGCTAAAATTAAATTGAGTAAAAAAATGCATTTTATACATTGATTTGTGACAAATATTCCAGGTCTTGAATACTTACTTTTCCACTCATTGAATCTGTCTTCGCCTTGGTACTCATGTTAATAAATCCTCTTGCTTCTTTGATAATTATTTTTGCTTACATAATAATATTTGTTTGTTCACTTTAATTTAATCGTTGTATTGTCCAATTTACTTTAAATTGTTACTAAATAAAAAAGTCATTGCATTGATTATTGCATTTGTTTAGTGTGCATCAAATGTTCATGTTTTGAGCTAATTATTTGTACGCACTGCTTTGAATTTTTGGTTGATATGAATAAATCCTTTTAAAATTGAAATTTAGTCTTTGTATTTTCATCACTCTTGTATTCATACATAAATTAATGAAATAATAAAATCTAAATTTCGATTTTGTCTTGAGGATCTCTCAGAAAAAATAAAAAAATATCTGCACACTTTCATCGTTTTAATCATGTGAAGTTATTAATTTTATCAGAAAAAAATTGTACTTCTCATTATTCCAAATTAATGCAAATAATGGAATGTTCGAGCATAAAAAATAAGAAACACCTTTATTTTTATATACTGTTACGTGGGTCAATATTATCAATACTCAATGTAAAAATTTGCGCTAATTTGGAAATTATTCGTGCAGTTGTCGATCTCTCGTTTATGTTGCTTTTTGATATTTTCGCAAGGGGCAGGAGATACCAATCTACATATGGTACGAATCATATCCAACTCACAGTGGTGAAGGCTATGAAGGGCGAGTGTCCAAAGTCAGTCCAAATTCAAATTACGGTGTTGCCAGTCTCAACTTGACCAATATACAAGAGAGTGATCAGGGTTGGTACGAGTGCAAAGTTGTGTTCCTTAATAGATCTCCAAGCAGCAACAGAAACGGTACCTGGTTCCATTTGGATGTTCACGGTATGAATTTTAATTATTAATTTCAAAAATTGATATCATTAGAAAAATCATTCGTCAGATACTAAATATTAAAAAAAAAAAAAGAGAAAAACATCTATGGCCAATTTTCCATAAAAACGAATAGCAAAAAAATTTTTTTTACTCTAACCTTGAATACGCAACTTTGCCGCTAATTTTAGGCTCTCATAGGAAAAAATAGTATCATCAACTGGTGCAGGTATGGTTTTTTAACAAGACTCGTTACAGCACTTGCCGATATAATCTTCTTTTTATAATCTCTCGTTTTGCTAAAAAACTATAGCTGCACCCGTTGAGAAATATACTATTTTTTCTAAGAAAATGAAAAAGGCTTTGTTTGTGTTGCCACTCTAATACCTATTCATTATTTTTTTGAAAACAGCCCCACCTAGATTTACAATAACTCCCGAAGAAATGATTTACGTCAATGTTGGGGATGCGATTATACTCAACTGTCAAGCTGAGGGTACGCCAACTCCAGAGATTCTCTGGTATAAAGATGCAAATCCAGTCGAACCATCGTCAACCATCAGAATAATGAACGATGGGACTGAGTTAAGGATATCAACCATAAAAAATGAAGACATCGGCGATTACACATGTTTAGCGCGCAATGGTGAGGGACAAATCAGCCATACAGCTCGGGTCATTATCGCAGGTTCGTAATATTAAAATTGAGCTAAATTAGTACCAACATCTGTTACCTTTTTTACGGTATTAACAATAGAATTATAAATTTATTGATTCTTAATATGATTAAAACATTAAAATTACATTCTCCAATATTTTATATTACTAGTGATATGAGGCACGCTCTGCACTGCCGTACGAACTAAAATAACCAATGACTTAAAAATATAAACATTTAAGCAAACGCCACATTTAAGTTTTCCCACTAAAAAAATTATATGAACGACCGACGCGAGTTTCCGACCAATCATAAAGCGAGGCACAGTTACTCCTCGACCAATGAGGTGACGAATAAAATAACTTCACATGATTTTTTTAAAGAAGGATCCAGTTTATCTTAGAAGATAAATACATTGTAAATTAGATCTTTAAAAACAAGTTATTAATAATGCTATACAGTTAAAAGAGTTAGAAACCTTTGTTAAAAAGTATGTCTGATTTTAGAAGACCATATCATGCTTTTCAAAACAATTTTAGTACCTTTTTACGCACTTTGAAGTACCTACTCTTAAAAATTAAATGACTTTTAATAAACTCACTTCATTGAGGCTTCATCTTACCTTTTAAAGCTTCATATTTATCCTTTTTGTTCAACGATTTATAACTCAGTTGTTTTACTTTTGTATACTATATTTTTACATTGTTGTCTCCATTTGATAAAATCGATGCTGTTTCCTTATTTTTGTAACATTGTTTTTTTTTTTTTTAATTAAAAAACTCATTTCATATAATCAAAACTCAGTAGAAATAATTGATAAAAATGAAAATTATAAATCTTAACTCGGGCACTTTTTAATAGCTACCTTATTCTACGAACAATTACAGTGAAACATATAGTCAACGCGCCGTAAGAGTTCATTTAGTTAATTGATATAGCCTATTTCTAAAGTATTGTATTAAACGCATTTTTTGGCTACCAATTTTGAATATCGATGCAGAAAACAATCCGAGTACGCTAAGTTAGTTACTAACCATTTAATTATTTATACGATCATATACTGTAAACTATTGAAGATAAATGTAACCAATTGTAGATCACTCTCTCTCTCTCTCTCTCTCTCTCTCTCTCTCTCTCTCTCTCTCTCTCTCTCTCTATATCTCTTGCTCTCTCCTCATACACGCGGGCAGAATTTTCAATATCAACGTAACAGCCTCTACATGTGAGAAAATTCGAATGAATATTCATTGACTTTTTCCCGACGTTTATGAATAAATATATCTATATTTGGTAGCAAGAGATACACGACCAACAGAAAATTGCTCTGGCTAAATTGGTTCAACAGCATAAAACACGTCCACCAATACCTTTTTTTTAAAACTTGATTGGCCGAATTACCTAAAGCAATAACGAACATAATTTTTAAAACAACAACCCAGTTACAATTGTACATCACGAATATCTGTTTTTTTTTCATTTTGTTGAAAATAGGTGGAGCAGTGATAACAAATCCTCCAACAAACGAGACAAAGCTCGAGGGCGAAAATGTGTCGTTCCCGTGTGAAGCCAAGGCCCTTCCAGGCAACGTAACAGTGCGCTGGTATCGCGAAGGTGCTCTCATCTCGGAAGTCTCAGAGCTTGATACGCGAGCATCTGTTAAGATGGATGGGCGACTCGTGATCAACCCTGTGAGCGCCGATGATTCGGGCATGTATTTGTGTGAAGTGACCAATGGCATAGGCGAGCCCCAAACTGCCAGTGCTTATCTCAACGTCGAGTGTCAGTTTCAATAAACTTTTATACAGCATTCAATTGACGCCCAAAAATATTAATTGTGGTTGAATTTTGAATTTTTTGCAATTGCAGATCCTGCAAAGGTTACGTTCAATCCGACCGTCCAGTACTTACCATTTCGCATGGCAGGTGTAGTGCACTGTTACATCAAGGCGAATCCACCATTACAATACGTCACCTGGACCAAAGACAAGCGTCTGCTTGAGCCCTACCAGATCAAAGATATCGTTGTGATGACCAACGGCTCGCTGCTGTTTACTAGGGTAAACGAGAATCACCAGGGCAAATACACGTGCACTCCTTACAATGCTCACGGGACCCAGGGTAGCTCTGTCATGATGGAAGTCCTGGTGCGCAATCCACCAGTCTTTACGATTGAACCACAGGCTATGTATCAACGCAAAGTCAGCGAAACGGTCGAGATGCACTGCGATGCGCACGAAGCCGAGGGCACACAAAAGCCCAGCATTACTTGGCAGCGGGTTCGTACATGTAACTCTTTACCTTATTAATTTTTTTTGCAGTCTGCACTCGATTTACGATATAAATTGCACATATTTAATGAGTAAAAAAGTCGGCATATCATAAGAATGAACCATACCAAAGTATCGAGCTCGGAAATTACGTTCCGTCCGTTGTAATTCACGAACACAGACTGTTTGAGTCCAATACAATTCAATTATTTCTCTAATCGTATATTTACATAAACTTACCTAATGAATTATTTGAATGATTGATTATAAAATTATAGTTTGCTACCATATCGTTATTTATATACCATTCGCAATGATTGAAATTCAAATCTCGCGGAGGACAGGTAAACATTTTTGTTTGCGGATCAAATACGGTACAACCCACGGCCTATCGATTTCTCACGTGCTCTCACGCGGCCGATTGTCAGGTAATACAATCTCGCTTCACAACCGAGCATGACATATTAAATTTGATTCGACAGAAGGATGGTGAAGCACTGCCACGAACAAGGGCTAAACTTGTTGGCGGCAATCTTACAATAGAAGGTTTACGCCGCCAAGACTTTGGCGCCTACCAGTGCGTGGTTGCAAACGAGGTAGCAACGCTGGTAAAATCGACTCAGCTGATCGTCGAGGGAACCCAGCCACACGCACCTCACAATGTCACCGGCACCGCAGACGAGTTTTCTGTTACCTTGTCCTGGTTGCCGGGCTATTCTGGTGGTCCGGACTACAAGCAGGATTACACAATTTGGTGAGTTCATTCGTGCATGCGCTGCGATTTCCGAATAATCCTGTATCATAAGCTTTGATTATTCTGATGGGAAGCTGGACAGCCTCGAACAACTTGTCCTGCGTCAACTCGACCTTGATAACTCGCCTTGGCGAAATCTCGACCCGAGAAAAAAAAAATTTTTTCCATTTCATTGTGCTGTCTGTATGAGTGTAAGGATGATTGTCACGAAAAGCAATTCACTGCATTTTTGGATTGCATCTTACTCCAACATTTACTCCATGTATAATGAGGGACTACATCAAGTTACATCAAGCACATCAAGAGGGACAGTAATCATAAAAAATACACTCCGCAATTATCCCATCAATCAATTTTTAAATGCATTTATCTTCCTCTATTTTGATCGTACCGAGACGAATTTAAATAGTACCTTCATAACGACCTACAGGGGACAAAAATAATCGAAGCAAGCTGTATTTTTTTTTTTTAAATTACTTATTGAAAAGAGTACTGTGCAATGGTTTATGTTAGATTTTGATCAATTTATTACTGTGGTCTATGCCCTATGGACAATGTCCATTGGACATGTTTAAACAATCAATTTAATTTCAGTAATTTTTAGTTTTGCGCTCATTCACTACTGGTTACTCGATATTTCGACTTGAACCCATACATAATATATATATATGGATTCAAAGAGGACAAAATTTTCAAGAAATCACAAAACAATTCGTCTCGGTACGATCAAAATAGACGTAGATAGAAGCATTTTCACATTTGCGTGACGATGAAGACATTCAAAATTATTAAACGCTATATGAATGGTACATTTTAAATAAATTTGATGGTGAACTTTTTGCCGAAAGGAAACATTATAATACAACTTTTCCGTTTATTTAGGATGCGAATGAAATATTTCTCTCAATTTTTACCCACTTTTTACTGCGTGACGACACAAGACATTTATTTACACAAAAATCGTTTTAGTTCCTTCTTACGCTGTTAAAATCAGTTGATGATGCGAACGAAGTTCGGACGACCACGCTAAAAGATGTTAACATACCATAGCTTGAAAATATACACTTTAGACAGCGAACAAGTGCGCACACGCATGCTAATATTGAATCTCAAAATCGAACATTTTCCATGGACATTATTTAAACTACTATAATGACCACGAAATAATTTTTATCTTTGCTGGACATTTAAATATGAAAAATACTCATATTCAAGTGTAAATATCCAAACTTATAATGACACGCAGATGCAAAAATTCAGTTTTAGGGTATAATTTTTGACTGATTCTTAAAATTGGACGCACGACGACAAAGACATTTTCTGCAGTCGGCGTAATATGGTTTTTCAATGTCCAATAATATATGTAAAAGTTAGAAATAATTGATATCTAACTATTTTGCATATTTCAGTAGCGTCATTTCACGATTTTCAACTGCGTACAAGGCAGGACATCAAAAACAAGCTTTTCGTGATAATCACCCATAAACTGTGGTAGTATTTTCCCTACTCTCGGATTTGGCACTCTTATCCTGTTTCTCTCCTCTATTAACTTGGGTTATTTGGGTTTGATGGATCTACACTCAAAAGTGTTCGCTCTGGTATGTAGGAGATAAAAGGAGAGCGCCGAAAGACGGAGATTACGCGCGGCTCGCCTCTGTAATGTGTCTTGGCAGTCAGTAGCTTCCAAATAAAGCAAGCAAATACATCATTCACAGTCTTCTCATTATTCCTACCTGCCCATGCAATACAATAGGGTTACTTGGGTTACTTTTTTACGTTTTTACTGCATATTTTCTTTCGGGGGTGAGTTGTCGCAGTAACCCAAGTAACCAAATTATAAACTCTTGGGTTATTTTGGTGGTAAAATATTTATTTTGGGTTATTTGGGTTATTTTTTTACGTTTTTACTGCAATTTTTTTTCGAAGGACAACAAAGTTTCCGCGGAGACGAGTTGTAGGAGGTGCGAGTAGTCGTAGATCAACTAGACGAGTTTTCCGAGGGCAAGATGTCGGGGATGAATGCGCTATGAATCTGAGCTCATCCGATTCTTTAAGGATACGGTTCGACCGGGAGAAAAAATAGACCCATTCAGAAAGTCATATAAAAATGTTTTAAACTATTCAAATACATCAAGCCTATTCGCATTCAATGAACCATTTCATAATTTTCAGCTTAACAAGCGATAATTATGTTGGGGGCTTGTATTATAATGACATATTCCGTATCACTATTCAAATTATCTCATTATGCTAACAAGTTTACTAATTAGCACTATGCAACTAGAATATCTTATTCACAGCTTCTGCTACTAATTATTCGTATCAAATGGATTATTTATACTCCCAAACCATAAGAGGAAATAAATTATGTTTTGCATTGACAAAGTAAAACTTAGGAAAATTTCATATTTCTAATCAAGAATTTAAAAACGAATTATTGCTCTTAACCTACTTGTAATACAGCCAGAGCTAAAAATTTGTCAAAATGACCGTTGCCTAGAATATTTCTGTAATTTACTGAAATAATTTGCAGGTATCGCGAAGAAGGAGTTCAAGAGTGGAAAACAATTCCTGTTACGCCCTCGGGAAGTACGACCGTGACGATAAGCAGGTTAAAATCTGGAACAAATCACGAATTCCAAGTTATTGGTAAAAACGCGTTGGGAGAAGGAATGTTCAGTAAAATGATCACAGTCAAAACGTTAGGTAAGAAAATATCAATACATAATATATTTCATATTTTAGTTCTTACCTATCTGTAGCTAATAAAGTCATACAGATAACATGATCTCATAAATTGTAGAATACGATAGAAGAGGGAATACTCAGTTTTTATCAATATGAACATTTTAAATACTTAACATTTCACAAAGCTTCAATAAGAGATACACGCAATTAAACAGTAACGTAATACCTTTTGTCTATGCAAGACGAATCGTGCGTTTTCCATTTAGGAGCGCCCTTTTCAAGTATAATGAGACTATTTATGAACCAAAGCTTGCCTCAACTTTAGGTTCAGTCTTTCCTCTATTTGCAGATCTAGTGATAAAGGACCCGGAGGTGTGCTGTCTGTAGGAACTGAAAAAGTTTTACTATATACCGTTATTTTATTTTAGACTTGTGGATGACACAACTGTGTATGCACACAAAGACCTTGCAGAATATTGATGACTTTCAATGACTATGATAAATGTATTAATTTTTCATATGAGAATTAGAATGAGTGCTCCTGTAGTTTCCAGGACATTTTATTGATAATCAAAAACCACATGATTATTGCTGGTGTCGCAAGCCTACAACTACGACCAGATTATCAGATTTTACTTTGTCAACTTGTACGTTGCAATAGAAGAGGAATGTTGTATATATGCAATAGAAGATAATGATATTTGTAATATGGCCAACAATAGTTTTATTGGATATCATCATTTTCACGCCAATAACTTGGATATAGTTAAAAAAAACACTTATCTACATATATTTTTCACTGTCTTTCGCCATCATAAATGTCAAATTGAAACTGCATAAAATACTTAAGTATTGATTATAATCTTCAAGAGGAAAAAGAACCTATATGTTATAGATCTTAATTCAAATCATTGATCGAGACTCATAGTCATTAACAACTTATAAAATAACATATGTAAAAACGTTAAAAAAATGTAATATGAATATAATACTGGTCGATAATGACACTATTAGATTTATTATAATTTTGGGTACAGACAAATTATGTATGTGAGATGATAGTGGGGTCATGTGTATATTTATGTGTATAACTTATCCTTCGTATATAAAAGCAACCAAATGCAGATTCGCAATTATAATGTATAAACAAGTATAAACAACCCAGACATGTAATAAAAAAAGGGGTTTTGTAATGTTATTGTAAAAATTGAATGATTTAGTATCATCACGAAAGTTCAATTTACTGGAATTGCTCAGCATTTTACGACTGGAGTTGCCACTAGTATAGTTCGTAAAAATTATTTATAGATATTATTATATTATCCTACTGGTACTGAACCAAACAGTAAGAGTTATTGTATCTAAAAAGAGCAATAAGTGTTGAAATTTTTTTAATGATTTGACATTTTTATAAGAATGAAAATTGGGCATTCCCTTCACAATAGGATTCTATAATTTATTGAAAAAGTAGGAAGTAGAATTAATGAAAAGTATAACATGATTTATTGTTTAATTTTATTGAAAAAATGTTAATCATTTTTTTTTATACAGATGTTGGATTACAAAAAGTACCGACACCATCTTCAAGCTCCGGAATTCAACCCCCAGCAGTGGCTGCTGCAGATCAAAGTGGTGGTAAGTTTTAAATATATATTTCATAGGCCATTGCAAACTAACTATTCAGAATTTAATGTTTATTTATTTCTTCACCAAGCTTATATTATAATATTGTAGTGTTCATTTCATTACATTTTTAGAAACCATGATATTATTGAATATAAATCATGAAATTTAATCAAAAAACTTCATACCCACTCTCACACACACACACACACACACACACACACACACACACACACACACACACACACACACACACACACACACACACACACACACACCGGCCTCCTTGGCTCAGTGGGTATAGTTCTTGCCTGCTGATCCGAGGTGTGCCGCAGGGCGCAGGGTTCGATCCCCACCTGGCGAATTTTCGAGGTTCGTTTTTTCGCCTGGTGTGGTCGAGCCCGTGCCCGAGGTGGTTCGGATTCCACTATAAACTGTAGGTCCACGGCTGCAGGCAGCCTCCTGGAGGGTGAAATATCCCCCAATCGCCCTGCGGCCCAAGTTGAGAAGAATTCCCGCAAGATGGAGCCCGAAAGCCAGAACTCCTAGTGCTGATGTTGGTCAACGGAGTGCATCATTCGAGAGGAAGAGCGCCAACACAAGGAAGAGCACCGACCCCTCGGCTCCAAGCCTGAATCCTCAGGCATGGGGCCCGATATCAGAACTTCTAGTGCTGGCGCTGACCGACGGAGTTTACACTCATCATGGAGTAACCCAGACGCCAACACAAGGAAGAGCACCGACCCCTCGGCTCCAAGCTTGAATCCTCAGGCATGGGGCCCGATATCAGAACTTCTAGTGCTGGCCGACGGAGTTGAAGCGAGAGGAGCTCGCAAGAAGCGGAGATGCTGGACGGTGTCGGGGTGGAGACGGCACTAGTCCAGCTTACGGCGAAGTTCTGACGAACTTACCGAAGAAGAAAAACATCAGCACAAGGGAGAGCACCGACAAAGACGGCTCCGGAAGGCGGGAATGACGCTGGACGAGGGCTTCGCGGGGCGAGCGGGGGATCACCATCGAGTTCACACGGTTCCTGAACCCCTGATCACTGCGCCTTGGCGTGCGGTGGATGGGGGATGTAGGGAAATGACCAATCATATCGATGTAGCAGCAATGCTAAAAGGCACCCACCGAAGTAATATCTAATGATGGTTCCGGTGGGAATCATGCCGGAGTTCGGAAGGGCCACTGGTGCAAGGGTTTACCCTGCCCACGTCCTCTCCATAAAAAAAAAAAAAAAAAAAAAAAAAAAAAAAAAAAAAAAAAAAAAAAAAAAAAAAAAAAAAAAAAAAAAAAAAAAAAAAAAAAAAAAAAAAAAAAAAAAAAAAAAAAAAAAAAAAAAAAAAAAAAAAAAAAAAAAAAAAAAAAAAAAAAAAAAAAAAAAAAAAAAAAAAAAAAAAAAAAAAAAAAAAAAAAAAAAAAAAAAAAAAAAAAAAAAAAAAAAAAAAAAAAAAAAAAAAAAAAAAAAAAAAAAAAAAAAAAAAAAAAAAAAAAAAAAAAAAAAAAAAAAAAAAAAAAAAAAAAAAAAAAAAAAAAAAAAAAAAAAAAAAAAAAAAAAAAAAAAAAAAAAAAAAAAAAAAAAAAAAAAAAAAAAAAAAAAAAAAAAAAAAAAAAAAAAAAAAAAAAAAAAAAAAAAAAAAAAAAAAAAAAAAAAAAAAAAAAAAAAAAAAAAAAAAAAAAAAAAAAAAAAAAAAAAAAAAAAAAAAAAAAAAAAAAAAAAAAAAAAAAAAAAAAAAAAAAAAAAAAAAAAAAAAAAAAAAAAAAAAAAAAAAAAAAAAAAAAAAAAAAAAAAAAAAAAAAAAAAAAAAAAAAAAAAAAAAAAAAAAAAAAAAAAAAAAAAAAAAAAAAAAAAAAAAAAAAAAAAAAAAAAAAAAAAAAAAAAAAAAAAAAAAAAAAAAAAAAAAAAAAAAAAAAAAAAAAAAAAAAAAAAAAAAAAAAAAAAAAAAAAAAAAAAAAAAAAAAAAAAAAAAAAAAAAAAAAAAAAAAAAAAAAAAAAAAAAAAAAAAAAAAAAAAAAAAAAAAAAAAAAAAAAAAAAAAAAAAAAAAAAAAAAAAAAAAAAAAAAAAAAAAAAAAAAAAAAAAAAAAAAAAAAAAAAAAAAAAAAAAAAAAAAAAAAAAAAAAAAAAAAAAAAAAAAAAAAAAAAAAAAAAAAAAAAAAAAAAAAAAAAAAAAAAAAAAAAAAAAAAAAAAAAAAAAAAAAAAAAAAAAAAAAAAAAAAAAAAAAAAAAAAAAAAAAAAAAAAAAAAAAAAAAAAAAAAAAAAAAAAAAAAAAAAAAAAAAAAAAAAAAAAAAAAAAAAAAAAAAAAAAAAAAAAAAAAAAAAAAAAAAAAAAAAAAAAAAAAAAAAAAAAAAAAAAAAAAAAAAAAAAAAAAAAAAAAAAAAAAAAAAAAAAAAAAAAAAAAAAAAAAAAAAAAAAAAAAAAAAAAAAAAAAAAAAAAAAAAAAAAAAAAAAAAAAAAAAAAAAAAAAAAAAAAAAAAAAAAAAAAAAAAAAAAAAAAAAAAAAAAAAAAAAAAAAAAAAAAAAAAAAAAAAAAAAAAAAAAAAAAAAAAAAAAAAAAAAAAAAAAAAAAAAAAAAAAAAAAAAAAAAAAAAAAAAAAAAAAAAAAAAAAAAAAAAAAAAAAAAAAAAAAAAAAAAAAAAAAAAAAAAAAAAAAAAAAAAAAAAAAAAAAAAAAAAAAAAAAAAAAAAAAAAAAAAAAAAAAAAAAAAAAAAAAAAAAAAAAAAAAAAAAAAAAAAAAAAAAAAAAAAAAAAAAAAAAAAAAAAAAAAAAAAAAAAAAAAAAAAAAAAAAAAAAAAAAAAAAAAAAAAAAAAAAAAAAAAAAAAAAAAAAAAAAAAAAAAAAAAAAAAAAAAAAAAAAAAAAAAAAAAAAAAAAAAAAAAAAAAAAAAAAAAAAAAAAAAAAAAAAAAAAAAAAAAAAAAAAAAAAAAAAAAAAAAAAAAAAAAAAAAAAAAAAAAAAAAAAAANCACAGCGACCACCAGGCCATCGTCTTCGAGATCGAGGACGCCGGGACCTCGACCAGGCCCTCGACGCGCCAGAGCTGCAGGTGGAACGCCCGTACACTCGACGCGGACCGTTTCTCCGCCGTCGTGTCCGGCGCTTCGGTCGCTCCAGGGACCGCGGAGGATATGGCGTCGAGCCTCATGGACGTCATCACCGGCGCATGTGATGCCTCCATGACCAGGGCATACTCACGCCGCCGCCGCGAGCCAGTGTACTGGTGGACGGCGGAGATCGCTGATCTGCGACGCTCTTGCCTGAGGGCTCGTAGACTATTCCAGAGATCGCGTGGCCGGGAGGACGAAGAGGCCCTCAGCGCGAACTACGCCTCCGCGAGGCGTCTACTGCGCGTGGCAATCAAGACCAGCAAGCGCCGGTGCTGGAGACAGCTTTGCGACGAGGTCGACAGCGACATATGGGGCAAACCGTACAGAATTGCCATGGCGCGTCTGCGATGCCCGCAGACCGCACAGCCTAGCTCCCCTCTCCTGGTGCGCCGCGCGGTGGCGGCTCTGTTTCCGCGAGTGCCGAGCGGGCCCGCCCTGCAACTGCCGCGTCGGATGGGAGAGCTGGTCCCAGCCGTCACCTTGGAGGAGCTCAAGGCTGCTCAGTCGAGGATCAAGGAGCGCTCGGCGCCCGGCCCGGATGGCGTGCCCAACATGGCGCTCAAACTCGCTATTGCCGCGCGTCCCGACGTCATCCTGCGGGTCTACACGACATGCCTGGAGACCGGCGTCTTCCCGTCTAGCTGGAAGCGCCAAAGACTCGTCCTGCTCCCAAAGCCAGGCAAACCTTCCGACGAGCCGTCCTCGTATCGTCCGCTGTGTATGTTAGACACGGCGGTCAAGATTCTCGAGAGAATTATATGCGACCGGCTGGAGGCGTTCACAGAGAGACCCGGAGGCCTCTCGGAGCGACAGTACGGCTTCCGGAAAGGGCGATCAACGATAGATGCCATCGAAGACGTCATTTCCACCGCCCGTAAGGCCATCGCTGGCAAGAGATGGTACCGCGGCACCAAGAAGTACTGCGCCGTGGTGACACTCGACGTGAGGAATGCGTTCAATTCGGCTCAGTGGGACAACATCCTCGCCGCTCTACGCCGTTTGCTCGTACCCGATTACTTGCTGAGAATAATCTCCAACTACTTCTCGGCAAGAGTGCTCGACTTCACCACGGACGAAGGTCCAGAGTCCTATGAAGTCACAGCAGGTGTCCCACAAGGGTCGATTTTGGGCCCGATCCTGTGGAACGTCATGTATGACGCGATCCTGCGTCTCAACTTTGATGGCGATGTTTGTATCGTCGGCTTCGCGGACGACATCGCGGTGGTGGCTGTCGCCAAGCACCTATGGCAGATCGAATACGATCTGAACGCTGCAATCGCACGTGTGCGAGACGCGCTCCAGGCGCTCAGCTTGAATACGGCTGACCACAAGACGGAGGCTCTGCTCATCACAAGCAGGAAAAAGGAGGAAACCATCACCATCACGGTAGGCAACCACAGCATACGCTCGTCCCCCTCCATTCGCTACCTGGGCCTGCACATCGACGCCAAGCTGAAGTTCGACCACCACCTCCGAACAGTCAGCGCGAAGGCAGCTGGTGTGATCGGGGCCCTTACGAAGATCATGCCCAACTCTGGCGGGCCCAGAAGCAGCCGACGCAAGCTGTATGCCCACGTCGTCGACTCCATACTCCTGTATGGAGCCCCCATCTGGAGCACAGCAGCGCAAAAGCTAGCCTACATACGCCAGGCGGAGTCAGCCCACCGACGAGCCTGCCTGCGTGTGATCGGAGGCCGGCCGCATGTCTCCTACGAGGCCACATATGTCCTTGCCGGCATACCACCGCTGGCCCTCCTTGCAGACGAGCGAGCGCGACTCTACGGCCGCCGCCGAGAGAACGCAGGGGACGAGGAACGCTTGGCAACGCTAAGCAAGTGGCAGGAAGCATGGGACCGGTCGACGAAGGCCCGATGGACGCATCGACTGATCCCAAACATCAGGGTGT